TTAATGGTTTTATGGCTGCTATTAAGGCCATAGGATTATTCTTGGTGGTTTGATGGCTCATCCCATACAGCTGTAGTTAAATATGAACCAATATAAGAATTCTGGAGTCACAAATATCAATGGGAATCAAAGCCTGCTCTCCTCACGCATTAACACAAACCTTCTAATAATGTAAGAGATATTCAGACACACACACTATTTTAAGGACCCTACTGTTCACACGTTCTGAATGTTCTGCTTTATTGATTTCTTCCCTGAGGGCACCTTTTCTAAGGCTTCACTGGGATATACAGAATTACCTTATGTAGAAAACTGAAAATGTGTATTCTGCTCTGTATTTATAGCTCTGTACTGATGCCATCTCAGCAGAAATTCTGCACAGTACAGAATTAACAATATTTTACTTTGAATTCTCCTTCTGTTTTTAGATTATGTTGCTACATTTGATCATTATGTCCCAAAGGGCATTTAAACTTCTTATTACAACTGAGCATTCTTTGGTCTTCTCAATGTTCCCACTATCTTTGTCTTCAAACTTCCTAAATAGTCTAGTCTATTCCCAGACAATGAACACAGCCAGAAAGGGCATCAGCGGAAATATAACGTACAAAAGAAAGCTCCAATTTTTAGCACTGGTTGCATGACCTTTCTTTAAAATGCACTGCAAAGAACATAAATCAACAATGTGGAGCAGCAACTGCCAAGCACCAATACTCCACATATTTGTATAAAAACCTCTTGATCTATTCGGTTTTCTGTTTTGAAACAGACACTGGAACTTCTCTTGTTTACATGGCTGACAAGCTTTGGGAACTTGCTCGTGGAACGAATGGATCTGGCAGGCATTCATATCCAAGTTTCCAGGAAAGGTAAATTTTGTATTACTCAGTAACAGGATACAACATATTTTGTTTCTTACAGCACCTGCACCATCAGTGCACAGAAACAGACCCATGTTTTGGTAAAGAAACATTAAAATAGCTAGAAACACTTCTACAGTGATGGTGTGGGAGGGTGGGCTTGCTAAAAAGAATTAAACAAATGTAATGAATAATTCAGAAATCAGTTTTCCCACATAATATCCAGCCACCGCACAGAATCAAAGCACGTCCTGACCTGGAAGGGACCCACAAAGACCAACAAGTCCAACTCCTGACTCTGCACAGAACACCCCAAAGAAGCACAGCATGTGCCTGAAAGCACTGTCCAAACCCTTCCTGAACTCCGGCAGGCTTGGTGCTACATCCTACTTATTTTGTAATACAGATATATATACAAAACTGCAACAGCTGAAATATTACAGTAGAGATACTGTATTCGAATAATATATAAAACAAATAAATTATTAATTTAACATAGAAAAAGCATAATTTGAAGTCAGTAAAGAAAACTTTGGGGTTCAGTTCTCTTCCCTCATTTGAGAAATAGTGCTATAAAATACTGTGGGCTTAAATAACTGCTCTAGCGACACCAGCTGATACATAATGCCTGTTTTATGGGACTGACTGTTCTCGGAAGTTCTTAATCTCCTTAAAAAATATCGCAAATACTGCATTTTATTTACTGGCACAGGCGCAGAGCCCCCGCAGCAGACGCCGAGCTGGCCAAGGCAGCGGGAACGGGGGCTGAGGAGGCAGCACGGCTGCCTGAGGAGCCGCACGAACCAGCGCAGGGGGGGGGCACCCAAGCCCTGGCCGAACCCGTACTATGGGGCACGGGTTCCCACACGGCCCGCAAGCCGCGGCAGTCCCCGGGGCACTGTCCCAGGGGGCAGTCCCAGGGCGCTGTCCCGGCTCGCTCCGGCCCCGCTCCGGGAGCCCCGGGCGCAGCGCGGAGCCGGAGCCGCCGCCGAGCGCCCCGCGCCTGCGCGCCACCGCCCCCCGCCCGAGCCCGCCCCGAGTGCGCACGCGCAGCGCTTGCCCACGGCTCCGCTGCTCGCACCTGAGGGCGAGAGTCGCGTTGGCCCAGCGACTTCCGCTCTCCCCGCTGCTGAGGCGGCGGCGGAGCCGCACGCCAGGCACGGGCGCTGCCGGCCCCGCGGGTCTCTCCCCCCCCACCCCGCCCTTCCTCCCTCCCTGCTGCTCTCCGGCTAGAGCCGGCCACGCCGCTCGGCTCACCAGATAACGCGCCTGCCAGTCGTTCGTGGCGTCGATCTCCTGGAACTCCTGCTCGATGGCGGCGGACATGATGGTGGCGGCGGCCGCCAGGGCGCGCGAGCCTGTCCGCAGGAGGCCGAGCGGCGAGCCCGCACCCGCTCGCGCGCAGCCCCCCGCCTCGCGGCAGCGGCGGGCGCGGCCAAACGCTCCCGACCGGGTGTCCCGCAGCCGGCGCCGGGCGCATGCGCGGCCTTGGCCCCGCCCACCGAGGGCCGTGGAGATCACGCCTCCCCGGCACGAGGAGGCGGGAAGCACCTGGGGTGACGTCACTGGCGCGGCGGGGGGCGGGGCCGCACTCAGGTGTCGCGGGGCTCGGCAGGGCCGGGGGCTGCGGTCGCCAAAGGAAAAATGTCACAAAAATCACGGACTCAGTTCGGTTGGAAAAGATATCCGAGATCATCGAGTCCATCCTTTGGCCGAACAACTAGACCATGAGCACCTGCAGGCACGGTGACTCCATCCCCTCGCTGGGCAGTCCGTCCCAGTATTTAATCGCCCTTTCTGTGAAGAATTTCTTCCTAAAGTCCAACCCGAACCGCCCCTGGTGCAGCCTGAGGCCATGTCTTCTCGCCATGTCGCTGGCTGCCCGGGAGAAGAGACCGACCCCCAGCTGGCCAAAATCTCCTGTCAGGCAGGTGTAGAGAGCGATAGGGTCACCCCCGAGCCGCCTCTTCTCCAGGCTAAACACCCCCAGCTCCCTCAGCTGCTCCTCACAGGCTGTGCTCCAAACCCTTCACCAGCTCCATTGCCCTGCTCGGGAGACGCTACAGAACCCCAATGTCCTTCTGTACTGAGGGGCCCAGAACTGACCTCGGTATTCAAGGTGCAGCCTCACCAAAGAGCGTGCAGGGGGACAGTCACTGCCCTGATCCTGCTGGCCACACTATTGCTGATACAAGCCAGGATGCCACTGGCCTTCTCGGCCACCTTCACACTCTGCTGCTCTCGTTCAGCGGCTGCTGACCAGTGGTTCTTTTCCACTGGGCCACTTTGCAGCCACTCCGCCTGTAGCGCTGCGCCGCTGTGCCGATGTCCCGGAGCGGACACGGCCCCGAAGGCTCCAAGAGCTCTTCCAGCCGCCGGCGAGGCCCCAGCCCGGCTCCGCTTCGCATCCCCGGCAGCCGCTGGCCCAGAAAAGCAGAAGTGCGGGGACACGGGCGTGTCGGACAGACAAATCCCAGCGGGGCTCGCCCTCCCGAAAGCAGAAACGCCGTGTCCCGCAGCGCCTGCCTCTCTGGGAGAGAAAGTCCCTTAAGGGGCGGCTCCGGCAGGCGCTGGGCAAAGCCAAGGGTCGGGCCGGCTCAGAGAGCGCTGCGCTGTGCCGGGGGACACCAGCCCGAGCCCCCGGGCAGGCGGGGCCAGCACACGCCGTGGCTCAGCACAGAGCGGGGGAAACGCCCGGCTCCTTAAAAATGTGTGAATTGGTGCCACAAAGGGCCGTGTCCCATCAGTGTCAGTGTCTGAAGGGAGGGTGCCAAGAGCCAGGCTCTTCTTGCTGGTGGACAAGAGGCCACGGCAGAAACTGATGCGCAGGAAGTTCCACCTGGATATGAGGAGGAACTCCTTTATTGTGCCAGTGCCCGCGCATGGAACAGATGGCCCGGAGAGGTTGTGGAATTTCCCTCACTGGAGATACTCAAGAATCGTTTGGACGCAATTCTGGGCAATGTGTTGCGGGATGACGCCGCTTGAGGAGGGAGGCTGGATCAGATGATCTCCCCCATTCTTCCACATTTTGTGAGAGGTTACAGCGCCGCCCCGCACGCCGGTGACGGTCCTGCCGCGGGTTCCTGTCCCGAACCTTCACTCCTGGCACGCCCTTTCCCTGCTTGAGCAGGGAGGCTGGATCAGATGATCTCCCCCACTCTTCCACATTTTGTGAGAGGTTACAGCGCCGCCCCGCACGCCGGTGACGGTCCTGCCCTCGGCCCCGCCCCAGCTCCTCTGCCGCGGGTTCCTGTCCCGAACCTTCACTCCTGGCACGCCCTTTCCCTGCCGCAGGCTCTCCCCCACCCGCAACACGGCCCCTCACGGGCTGGGAGGTTTCCCTGGAAACGTTTGTCCCTGCCCTCTCCCACGCCCGAGGGGCCCTGCCGCTCCCCTCGTCTTCCCTGCTCGGGCACACCGGCCCCGCTGCCTCGGAGTGCCCGACCCCAGGCTCGTACCCACGGGCAGGGGCTGGGAGTGTCAACTGAGGTGTGACCGACAGCTGAAGGACGCGATGCCATCCAGCGGGATGGCATGGATCCGGACAAGCTCGAGAAGTGTACCTACGGGGACCTCGTGAGGTTTAACAAGACCCAGTGGTCAGGTCAAACCCCAGTATCAATACAGACTGGGGTCCAAATGCATGGAGAGCAGCCCTGCCAAGAAGCACTTGGAAGTGCCGGTGGGTGAGAGGCAGGACATGAGCCAGCAGCGTGAGCTTGCAGCCCAGAAAGCCAACCACATCCTGGGATTCTGCCCCTCTGCTCTACTCTTGTCAGCCCCCACCTGGAGAGCGGCATCCAGCTCTGGAGTCCCCAGCACAGGAAGGACATCAACCTGTTGGAGCAAGTCCAGAGAAGGGCCAACAAGTTGATCAGATGAATGCAGTCCCTCTCTTATGAGGAAAGGCTGAAAGCATTGGGATTGTTCAGCCTGAGAAAGAGAAGGCTCAGGCGTGATCTATTCACGGCCTTCCAGTACCTGAAAGAAGCCTACAAGAAGACCTGGATAGACACATTTTAGAAGGGCATGTAGTGATAGGGCAAGGGTGAATGGCCTCAGATTGGACTTGGATAGACATATTTTAGAAGGGCATGTAGTGATAGGGCAAGGGGGAATGGCCTCAAATTGAGAGTAGGTTTAAATTAGGTATCAGGAGGAAGTTCTTTGCTCAGATGGAGGTGAGACAGTTCTTTGCTCAGATGGAACAGGTTGTGCAGAGAAGTTGTGGATGCCCCATTCCTGGAAGTATTCACTGCCAGGTTGGATGAAGCTTTGAACAACCTGCTCCAGTGGAATGCAAAGGGGTTGGAACTAGGGAATCTTTAAGATCCCTTCCAGACCATAAGATTCTGTGATCTACAGCCCCTGTGATAACCAGCTGAGTGTGGCTGTGCCATCACTCTGGTTCCTCGTGTGCTGTCACTGCAGCCCCACACCAGCCCCTGCCTCCTGTGGGCCTCACCTGATGTTTAAGCACAACAACAACAAGCATTTTTTTTGAAACAGACTTTTCATTTTGAATACCTGTCACTGAATGCTGCTGTATTTCCTTTCTGCCACACAATGCTCCAAGTCCACTGGCTCATGTGCTCCCCCAAGTCCTGGAAGAAAAGCTGGAGTCCTGGACACCATGGGAGTCTGTGATGCCTTTGAAGTACAGCAGATGGAACAGCATGGATCAGTAAGTTCATAACAAGTTTTCCCAAGTAACTCAAGGAAATGTTGCACAAGATTTTCTTCAACTATGGGTTCAAGCTTTGAAATCAATGTAGGGAATGGCTTTCTTGGTTTTTCTGCCTGCACGACTGAGGCATGGGTCATGTCTGAAGTTCTGCTGGTGCTCTCTAGTTAATCAGTGTTCTATGTATGATCAGTTATGAAACAAGCAAATAAGAAAACATTTGTGAATTATGTTTGTGATTTAAGAGTACAGAAAAGCGTCCAAGTGCCCATCCTCAAGGTAATGATTGATTTTCATTTGAAATAGATTTCTTTTAATTCAATTATTTAAATTGTTCTTTATATCAGAAAACTTATGTTGCACAAGCTGGCTGTAAGAAAGTAACTAGGTACATGGAAGCTGTCTGCCAAATAACATATTTTAATAAAGAAATTAAAATAGGCATCTTCTTTGCTGATTTTAGTCTTTGGCAAGCTTTTCCCTGTATATAAGCTTGCTGATTGGTCTGGATTTATAGCATTTATGACATGATGTGCTTTTCACTCGTGCTTGTGATATTTGGGGATGTAGTTAATATTGGGACAGCAATGTAATTGTCTGGTTAGGAAAGGCAGTTTTATGGTAGCAGCATCCATCTAGAATCTCTAATGCAGATCAGTGCCCAGACACATCTCGTGGAAAGCTAAAAATGTTTATTAGTTGGTATTTGGAGCTGGTTTAGAAAAGCAATAACTTGTAAACCAGAGTTTTCTGAAGAAATTGCTATTGTCCAGATTTGGGTTACTTAATTTTTACTGCAAATATGCTGAAAATGCAGCACCAGTTCTCTGGCTTTTAGTATCTGAGCCTAGGATAGGCCCAAGATTACATTTCTAATGGTCTCTGAAGGAGAACTGTATATACAACATAAACAAAGTACACTCATTAGACAATTTATTCTGCCAATAGTAACCTCCCATTCTGTATTAGCTGTGCAGCCAAGTCCAGATGAACCCTACATAAAGTCTTATGCCCTTGGGACCATGTGAGACATGCAAAGAGGGACAACACAGTTGCTGGAAAGTCTAGTATATTGTAGTGTTTTCTGTCTTAGTATAAACAGAAGCAAGCAATGTTTTTTAATTAAAATCTCTGATAATTTGAGAAGCCCATTGCTGTACTGACAAAGCAGTCACCCCAAAGTAATTGGTATCTGCAGTAGTTTTGATTTCAAAATTGACTTTGGTGCCCATGAAGACCAATCAAGTTAATTTTAAATGTTTTTGTCCAGTGACCTTGGCTGAACAATTATTTTAGTACCAGTCTGGAACAGACTAAGTGTTTGTTCCTCTGTGTGTACTTTTTTGGGTCATTCACTGGAACTACTTAAGCACCATTTATTGGAAATGATCTGGTTTGTGCTGCTTTTCTGAGAACCATTTTAGATATTGGTAGATGAAGAACAAATTCTTCCCTGAGGTAGTTTTATTCACAAATACACTCCACATCAATTTTAATTGTTAAGGAAGAGAGCTGTAATGTGCTTAAGCTTGCCACTATGTGAAAGGAGGAGAACATATAATTCCTGATTTAAGTTTTATAGCCCAAGGCCTAAAGAAGAAGAGGATCCTCCCTTCCCCGATGAACTGGATAGGACTTGAAACACAGAAGGGCTGGCCACTCCTCTGGCATCTGGTAGGGAGTGGGAGAAGCTGAATGAAAAGGTCCAGTGGTCAGGATAAAACAGGTTTCATTTTTTATGTTCATTACAGTGCACTCTTATTTCAAACTTTTGGAAGCTGTGTTCGTTGCTCAAGTGAACATTAAAATTCCCATTACTGAAAGTGGGTGTTGGTGCAAATACTTTTCCTCAACTCTATTATTGCTTTTCTTCCCCTGCCCAAAATTGTATTCTAGCATACAACAAGAAGGGGGGAAAAAAAGAAAGAAAACACCCAGAAACCCATAGCAAACCCTTCAAAATGTATGTAGCAAAATGCAAATCCTTGAAGGCTGCTACAAAAGTAGAAGTGCAAGGGCCTCAAACAGGTTTGCTTTTAGCTCAGGAGGTCTTTCACATCAGTCAGAAATCCACAACAGTGGGATCCTATTGTCCAGTGTCTGATAAGAACCAGCTCTGTAGTAAAGGTGATGGGATTGTGGAAGAGGAGGACAATACAGCTGTGCCCAGACTACACAATTGCCCAAACTGTTGTCTGGAGTTCTGTGTAGAAGAAATCCATGGCCAAGGAAGAAAGGAAATATTAAGAACTATTAAGGAAGTCTGTTTCACGGTCTAGAGATTTGTGCAAGTCTGTATGGCACTGGACTCCCATGGTGAAGCTGAAATAATTGTGGAGTATGAAAAGAAAAGGGTAACTGGCAGAAGTGCTGTCACGAGTGAACGGACACACCAGCTGGCAGAAAAGGCAGCCAGCCAGGATGTCTGAGGGATAGAACAACTTTAGGCTCTGCTGTGGCTTTGTGAAACAGCCCTTCCAGCAACCTAAGCTGGGGTGTGCAGTCAGCCACAAAGCCTAATGCCGATGAGTCAATGCAGGGGTGTTGGGTACGGCTACGGGAAGAAGAAAAGAGCCAGTTGCCAAGAGAAAGATGACCCCGAGTTATTATTTTTCTCACTTGTAGAGAGGATCTTGTCTGCTGGGGATGGTTTGTGTATGTTACTTGACTTTCTCTTTCCTTTTTACCCCTAACTACAGAGACATTTATTGAAATCATCATTTGCAAGTGAGAAACTCTTAATTCAGTGAGTGTGGCTTAGTGTCATTCCATGGTCCTTGTCAGAATGTCAACTTTTGCTAGAAATGGCATCTATAGTAACTGCCTATAGCTGACAGAGTTTTCATGTTGAAAGTTTGTTTGAAGATCATGGGTGTATTAGACTTTAAAATTGCCTCACAAACTGAATAGGGCTGTTCCTTGCTTACACTATTTATAATCTCACAGCTATTGTTTCAAAGCATTACTTTGTATAATGGCATAATGGTTAATGAGCACTTCTGGAAACAGTTCTGGAGTAGTTCTTTATGCTGGCCAGTGAGTCTTTCACTCAATTTCTCTTACAATTGTGAAGTGATAGTATCATGATCTTGTAACTTGTTTCTAGCACAGATTCTGTATTTTAGTGGTTTCTATGCTTGATTATATGTATCTTCATCCATATTCAAGCTTATCTTCCAAATTACAAAATTAAGGTAGTTTTCTGAATTACAGCAGGAAACACTGTGATGCACCAGACCACTGCTGTTTGCTAGGAGAAGCTCTGGTAAGAAAATACTGTTTTAGCAGAAGAAGACTTTCTCCTGAGGAGTAACAGTAAATGTTTCTATTATAAACTTGTATTCTCAGTTTTATGTTCCAGTTTTCCTTTGGGTTTCCCAGCATCAGGACAAAGCAATTGTGACTATTTTCATGGATCTAACAATCTCTGAATTGTTTTGCAATTTTTTTTGCCCCAATTGTTCAAAATAAGAGTCTTCAGATTGTAATCCATGCTTGTAATTTATGCCTCTGCATTAGACAACCTGATATGCCAATAACAGGAAAGGATTTTCTTGTACTACTGACTGTAACAGGGATTTAAAATATCTTATTGTTACCAGCTTCATAGATACTAAAATTTACCACGTGGTGGTGAGCCTTTAGCTTTTATTAAAATAATTACTTCTGTCTTTCCTGTGATAGCAGAGGTACGTCTGTACAGGATTTGTGATAGCTTTGCCTGTTTTTAAGTTGACATTAATATATCGAATTTCATACAATTTCCCGTAGAAGCTTGTCCTCTTGAGATAATGAGCAGCCCTGTAGGAGCCACATTCTCTGAGTCACTGTTTTGATGGCAGAGTTCCATGAGTGTGTGGCTCATTTCGCCTGCTGAGATGTCCTTTGGTATGTTATAGAGAACAAGGTGTTCACACTTGTGTCACTGTGGAAACCTGAGCACTGGATCTCGTAAGGACCATGGAACACTACAGCAGAATTTGCATTGCTGCACTTGCTTGGCAAGGCAGGACTGCCATATTCAATGCACCTCTATTTTTACCTCCAAAGTAAGTCAAAAAGCAAGGAGGAAAATAGATTTTGCCTGTAGGTGGCAAAGAGCCATGAAGAAATTGTTAATTTTAAGCAAGGAGGAAAATAGATTTTGCCTGTAGGTGGCAAAGAGCCATGAAGAAATTGTTAATTTTTCAGGCAGCATGATTTCCTAACAAAAACAAATTAGTAGTGCATGTAAAATTTACCTTTCCTTTTTTTAATTTGATAATGTCTCTTATAAAAATGTCTTTGAAATTAATCTACTAAAGTAAGGAGTCTTAAAAATCTGGTTTGCAAAACCAGTATAATAGAGCTTTTGAATGTATGCTATGTTTCCTTTGGTCCAGACATTTCAAACCTCTAATTCATACCCTTGTGGCATACAAATAGGCTATAACTGCTAAGCCAATTTGTTTGTTTTCTCAAAGAAAAGAAAAACTGAATGTAATGTACTCAAAGAAGGATCCATAACACACGTTTTCCAATTGGAATGCTGTCAAGGTCTTTAACATCTTATTTTAGCCAGTGGAACAGTTCCAGCAGTTCAAGTCATGACATGACCACTTACTGGAATTAACAACCCAGGGAGAAAAGTGCCCTTATGCAGAACGTGTCCAGTATCAGAATGGCTGTAGGAAACTCTCTGGATCTTTTACATGTTATACATTTTAATTTTTTTTTCTCCTACTCTCTCACTGCATATAAAGTTACATCACTAAAAGACACTATTTTCCTTTTAAAACCTCTGTGGAACCCCTCCTCAAGCAGAGCTCTGCAAGTTCTTTAGTGGCAGACTTTCTAACACAGATTTGCAGTAAGGAAAAAATGTTACAAAGAAAAAAAGAAACAAAGTATGTTATTAAGATCGTATTTGTCAAGAAATATCCCACATGGTCACTTCAACATCTCAGGTAGCTTCTAGCTCCCATTCTCTTACACTGATTTTGGAAGCTCTATTCACTTGAAATTAATTTTCACTGTCCAAGATGACTGCTTTCTTCATAGCAGCCCCCCCTGAAGCACTGAGCAGGAAAGGTAAGGTGCAGAGTCAAAACAAAGATGTTTGGGGTTTTTTATTTGTTTTGTGCTCATCAAAGACCACCTCAGTTTTCCCTTTTGTTTTTCTTAGTTAAGGAAGAACATTTAATTGAATGTGGTGACTGGCTTCCTGAAAGTGATACTGTGGGAAGGGGATTAGGAGATACAACTGCCATAAGCCCATATCTGCATTCCCTAAATTGTTACATTAACATGTAGGTCATAATCAGAACAGTCTGGATTTCCCATTGCTTCTCAACACATTGGTAATACCTTATGGATACTGTTATCAGAAGTTATAAATGCACAATCTAATTTCTAGATTCAGAATATATTTTGGCTGGTAAATGCCATACAAGGAACAATATGTCAGCAACAATCATTTGTGAAACTCTGCCACATGCACGGTCTTTGTCCTGGGGTTTTCTCTGGGAAACATCACAAATCATGTGATGACAGTATTTCCTTGTCTCAGAAAAAGGTGTAAGGATAATTCTCACCTAATTTCCAGAGTTTCAGCAACCTTGGAAAGCAGGATGAGGCAGACAACTGAAGGAAGTGACTGTATCAGTCATTACAGCTAATTCTGCTGTCAAATGTGCATCAACAGCGTGCAATATTACTATTGAATTTACACAATTCTGTCACAGCAAATGGCATAAATCCTGAATTTCTTTGGACAGGAGGTTCCAATGAAATAATGCAAGGATTACATTTCTAAAACATAAACATATATGCTTCTCAGGGTGTTATTAAAACTTTCCCATCTCTTTCTTTTACCTCTCACTTTCCTCAGAGAAGAAGAAGTGGGGGTGCATTGTTCACACAGAGGAGTGAGTCATTAATAGGTTTGATAATTAATCAGATTAATGAAATCTATGCTGCATGTTATAGCCCTCTGGTTACTCTAACTGGAAACTCATATACACAGCTTTTTATACAATTGTTTTTCTAATGGGAATTTCATAGATGTGTATCTTTAAATCTACCATTCTAACACAATGTGATAGAAATTAAATTAGCTAAAACTATCATGTGCTGAATTATATTTTTCTTGATAATTTAAAAATATTTATATAAGAAGTAAGGCAGATACTTTTAATGATCATGCAGATAACTGCATGATTAACTCTTGGAAGTTTACTTCTTTCATCAGAATACAGCATTATTGGGGGAAAAATGAAAATAATATTTTTGCTTTAATCTGTGCAAGTCAGCAGATGGTGGTTAAGTAGTCTCTGTACACTGTTCAGTGTTCCATTCGTATGCTTATACTTTGTGCATGATACTTGTGTATATAAATATCATCTGCTCCTGCTGTCCTCCCACAGAGTGCTTCAATGCACTGGGTATTTTCTTTGTATTTCAGATATCTCAAGGGCAGGGGCTCAGAAGAGATGCTCAGCACTTAGGGATGGAACATAAGCCACTCACCAATGACACATGTATCTGAAATAGTTGTATTTCATCTTATTCAAAAGCATAATGGTGGGGGAAATACCAAAAAAGCTGTGTGGGTAAAAATTATGTCTTTTAGGCATGCACTGTTTCCTCCACAATGTAGCAATGGGTTACCTTGGGCAGAAAGCAGTCACTGGCAATCAGTGTCACTGACTTGACCTTGGCTGAAAGCAGCATCCCCTGTGCAGCAGTTGCTAGTACGCCTCCACAATGGAGCTGTGTGGGAATGTTCAAAGCACCATTAATCCTGCGGCACGAAGTGAACATTTCTTAAAATACCCAAGTACTTTTTTCAGCATGTTCGTATGGTGGATGCTCTCTCAGATTTGGGCTGTGTGTGCTTTGGCATGAGCCTTGAGTCTTCAGTTTAACTTATTCCTGTAAGGCCAACTAACCATGCTAATTTGTACAAGATTGTAGAAAAGAGACTTAACAACATGCAGACTTGATGCTTCTCTTGCAACAGTGAAGTTTCAAGATTTAGAAATAATTTAATTAAAAATATGTTAATGTAAACTATGACCATACAGTTTACACAATAACATTTTAAAATTATATAAATTCTTTGCTGCTTCTAATGATTCCCTTGAGTAATCTGTCCTCATAGCAGTTCCTGCTGGGAAGTTCTCCTTGTTATGATTCTGATCTAACAGCATTGCTGAGTTGAGACATAAGATGAATAAAGTGACTGGTGATTAATATGAAGTCACAGTACACTTTCTCCTTACAGGGAGTGCACCCTCACATCTGACAGTAAGGCAGCATTTTTGCTAGTGAGAATTTCATGGGCAGAGGGGACCATAACTGAGCACAACAAAATATTTTCAAAATTTCCAGTGAATGGGAAATTAGCTTTTGTAGTCATGTGTCTTCCAGAAATTCAAGTATGCTTCCCCTGGAATTTTGTCTGGGATTTCATTACATGTTCTTAATCCAGATGTTTCAAATGCTTTGGAAACAATGAACTATTATTATTGTCAGAATAAATTAATCACATTTCCTTTTAGAAATGTCAGAGGGAGGAGGAGTGCTTAGCACATCTCTAGGGAGCCTTTTGGTGTAGACTCTCTGCTGGAGCCTGAAACCTCCCTAGACAAATATGTTTCGCTTCTCCTAATGGTGGTCAAAGCAGAAAATTACTCTAGCACTGCCCATTTAAAATTTGCTGATATATATTATCTGGACTATATCCCCAGACTGTTCCTTAGTCAAATTTACTCTGTCTTGTTATGCCTCGTGATTAAGCTATATATATAGCATGTGACATCCCTAAATATGTGATTCCATATCTATACCATAGTCTCCCCATGCACCTTGCAGAAATTTAATTTGAAATCTGAGATAGAGAGATGGGGTCTATGCTTCATAAGAAGAGACTGAAGGATCATCTAACAGTTTGAAAATCTTGGCTTATGCCCTTTCATAAATATTCCTTAAGTCTGAAGCTGCCTGTAGGTACTGCCACTTGCCTCAGCTGAGATTCCTGTTACCCCCCAAGCACATAATAGGTCTTTATTTCTTATGCATCTTCTTTTAGATACACTGAATGTCTCCAAGAGTTATTATTTTGCTAGAAGACAGAAGTATATGGATGGACCCTGAGTTCGTTGAGCTGCTCTGCCTGTAGATGCAAAGATATGTTAGTGTTCTGTATAGCTGCTTAAGTAATATTTTTTTAGAATGGGTAACCCTGTTGTGTTTGGGGAATATGTGGTTTTCCTAAAACACTGATTTCAAAAGCTCTTTAGCCTATTATAGCTAAATAGCATTTTAATGAAGGATGTTTGTTACACTTAACAACAACAAAAGTATCAATCTTGTAATGAGTAATAAGCAAGTTACTTCACCATGTTGTTATCATCCTTCAAACTTCATTGTACCATCTCTGCTGCATTATAAACTAAGACTGGTTTCAGACAAACATTTGGATATTACACCCTAGTATAAATATTTATTCTTCTTTTTCCAAATGAAAAAGAAATTCTTAAAGAAAATTATTGCTGAGCTTTCCATTTTAAATTTAGAGTTTTTATTTTATTTGAACAGAAAACAGCAGGGCCAGCTGCAGGAATAGGCAATGTAGGCAGGTTGCCTATGGATGCAGCTGTTCAGGGTGGCACAAGGGCCCCAATAAAGAGCAGCCAAGTTCTGCTCTTTCCTCTGCCAAGGCATTTCTCCTATGGATAGGAAGACCATGCATTTGAGCTGTTCATATCATGTGAGCAACTTATCTCTACCTTCTGACAGCAAACTCGCTCAGCCTAGGTAATTTGTAGTTTTATACTCTAAGGATGTATGTGTTACATTGTATGAGTGTGTGCTTTATTCTCACTCTAAGAGTGAGTATGCATCAGCAGCAGTAGCAAACCTGACCTTCTGAGCCAATCCTATTCCTGCCCCTTCCTTTGCCAGAGCAGCTGAGCCCTGGAAGCAGTGGAGGAGGTGTAATGATGAGATGTTTCTGCTTGAGAGGTGAGGAGTGTGGGCAATGAGAAGAACAATCTCCTGAAACTAGAGACCAGAGAGCTGGGATCCAGTGACTGATGAAGTAGGTGTCTTAATTCTACTCCGGGTCATCCCAAAACTTGCTGAGTGGTCTTGACAATGCATCTCCCTACACCTCCCTCTCCTCTTTCCTCCATGCTCTTCTTCATGCACATCCACCTTCTACAACCTTCACGTTCTTTTCTGTAGAGTCTAGTACTGCTGCAAAATTTGAATTTTCCTGTACGAGGAGAAGACTTGAGTCAGCTCCAGGAACCAGCTACTTAAAATTTTCCAATCTATTAAGCAGATCACATTAAGCTGTACGCTCACTTTAAATATGTGAGAAAGAAAAACTCCAAATAAAGGAAAAAATAATCTAAATATATACCTGTAGTAAATGAAATTGTCACATTCAGAATGGATGGCATCATGATGTGCATTTGGCATCAAACACTATGTGGTGCAGCCCTGCTTTTTGTGGCCCACCACAGCTGTGCCTCTGTCTCCACAGAGCAGGAGGACTGCCATCCTGCAGCTCCATCCATGGTGAGAGGCTGAAGGGGAAAGGCTGCAGCATGTGCTCCTTCCCTTAGCACTGCTCTCCCCCTTCATAAGCACACTGCTGAAGGAAATTGGAGCTGGCTCATCTCTGAGGTCACTGAGAGGCTATGGAACCTAGAAGGCAGAAGTCCTTCTTCAAACCCAACTCGCCAAACCCTGCCTGACCACACTGTCCAAATCATTAAATATTACTGTGGTAACTGGTGGTGCTGGGAAATCTTTTTATAAGCTAGTGAAAGATTTGTGTTTGCACCCACCAGTAAAGGCATTAAAGGCTTTCTCAGCCCATAAACAAGCATACACAACCATTCTGTAAGCAACAGCTATAATAATGCGTTTGATATTCTATCATAATTGTAGTCTGCAAAAATGATTTAACTGGTAACTTTGTCAGCATTTATACCCTGTTTTCTACTTCTGATCTTTCTTTCCACACTCCAGAACAGACGGAGGAAAGCCACCGCTGCTAAGTTTAGACTTTTCTGTCTGTTCTTACTGTGAAAACTCTCAGGGCCAGTTATTTTCTACTTTTTCTCCTACAAGCTGTTTCTATTTCCCAACTTAAGATCACTAGTTTAAAGATAGCTCTGATGTAATTATATCATCTGAGATCAACCTTCATATTCATCTGTTATGAAGCCATCAGTATTCCCTTCCTAGCTGTCAGTTATGTTGCTTGTCAACTTGTCATTCCAATTTTCCCTCACATTTCTTTGCACATTCATATGACTCAGAACAGTTTCCCATCCATAAGCCACTTACTTACACATAACACCACTTCTGTTTCTCCTTAACTCAACTTTATGTGCTGCCACAGCTATACTTGGTCATGACTGAGTAACTGCTTTGCTTGACTGTCATTTCTAATAATTATTTTGCTTACTTTCTCTTCCTGTACTCTTTTGTATGTTAAGTGGTAAAACCTAATTTTATAGAGTTGAAGCTGATATATTTTTTTCTTGCATCTTTCTAATAGTCCTTTTTTTAGATAAAACAGTAAGTTTTAAATCCTATTTGGGAGATTTTGTTGAGTTCCTGGCAAAATAAATCACAGGTTCTAAGTGGAACTCTGCAGCAGCAACAAAGCAGGGTGATACATAAAGGTTCACTGTTCTCTTTAGGTGCCTGTTTTACTCTCAGGTTACTCACATAAAGGCTTTGGGACTTTACCCTCATTTTTGCCCACAAAATAATATTTTGCTATTAATTTCTTGCCATGATAGGCCAGTCATGCCTGGCAAGTGATCCTCCTAATTTGTCTTACTCTTCATAACAATAATTGCTGGTATTCTTTTTTCTGAACAGGAATTCAACCCACATCTTGCACACACTGTTGTGATTATGCATGCTTTCCTCTGAAACATTCCCCTTTAGATTTCCAGTTTGTATGACACTTTTGTTACACATACAAGACCACTTGCTAATATTTTCAATCTCTTTCCAAGTTTTAAGCCTCAGATTCTCAAAGAAAAGCAAACTCCTAAATGACTGGGCTTACCAGTCATTTTTTCCCCCTAATCTAATTGCTCAATAACACCAGTTCATATTTCTACATTGCCTTAATCCAGGACATACAATAATATATATTATTTCACTCTCTGTGAATTATTATTAATTGTTGTGAATCCAGTTTTTAAGGGTTGTACCATGTTAAGGAAAACATGGTACAAAAAACTGTGTGGATTTCACGGGATCAGGCAGGTCTTCCTTGCCAAAAATAATATTTTTTAAAAGGTTGTCAGGAACGGAACCTTTAGCTCTGCTGAAAGCTGTTTGCTGTGGGCATGATAATCCATGAGTGCCTGTAACAGACCAGCTTCTAGTGCAGACATGAGTGAAGCATGTAACAGTGGTAGCCATTTTAAACAGGCTTCCTCGCCCTCTATCCCATGCTGATACAAACATTCTTAATGAGTACAGTTCATAATTTTCTTTCTGTTTGGTAGGTCTTTGCATTTTATAAAATGTCTCTCTACAGGCAAAAGCAGCTTTTACTTGAAGAAGGTAGTCAAAAGGGAGAAAAGGAAAGTACTAACTGTATTTTTTTAAAATTCAAAGCAATGCCAGTTAAAGTAATTTTGAATGAGAATATCTCTACCAATGCTAATACACTTACACTAGACTTCCAGCAGAAATAAATTAAGTTATGCAGTTTTATAAAGTCAAATTGAGAACAAAATTGGCCTACTGTGTCAAAAGTGAAAAACTAACCTTATTATAGATGCTTTTACTTCTTCTTCTGTGCTGTGGTTCAATTTAATTTAATCAAGGTATAATACTGAATCAAAATGCTAAAAAATATGCACCAGCATTGCCATAGTTGTGTGATCTTCCTCTGCACATCATTATGCAAATAGTAATGCTAAAATACAACTGTCTTTTCCACCTCACGCACATCATCAGCACAAACAGAATGTCCTTCCTTACTGTTCAGCTGTAAGAGGAAGTCTCCAAGGTTAGCTGGTAGCTGAATCCCGATTCACGTCTCAGCTAACTGGAACCTGCAAGCTTCCTGTGGTTTCCCTGAGTTCCAGCATGCTTCCCATTATCTCGCTATGTGGCAGGAAGTGTTCTGGTTACCATCAGCAGCAGATGCTTGTGCCCCCCTGACCTGGCCGTGGTAGCTGCCAAACACTGCTGTGCACTGGGGACTGTCCCTTTGTGCTCCGACTTCACAACCCTCGGATACTCTGGACATGCAGCAGGGAGCTGCTGTAACTTTCCAGCACTAAGTGTCTTGCTTTCTGGATTTGTTATACCAGTCCAAGGGGAATGTCTCACTCGGCAGTAGTCTTGAATTTGTTATTAATTTCACCTAGATGACGATAGAAATAAATTGAAGTATTCGTTCATAACAAAGGTTTATATTAGACCTAGGTGGGAAGCAAAGTGCTCACATGTTCACACTATTTCCATCTTATTTACCACACTACCCCAGATGTCAAGACTTCTGTGGTCCAAGATAATTTGTGTTCATGTTACATCATTGGAAAATCCCTCTTTTGATGTAGCATGTTAGCTTTTATAGCCAATTTTTGGTAACATTTTAAATCTTCCTGAAGAAGTCCAGAGAGATTTGATTTTATTCAACAAATTTTGTTTTACTTTTAATGTGAGAGATACTCTGGCCATTTAAAAGAATTTAAACAAGTGTTGTTTCATTTCCCAGAAAATGTGAATGCCTCTTTAGTAGTCTGCATGCCTTCCATCCTAATAGGCTGTCTATTTAATGACTGCTGGCCTTCACAAAGGCTGTATCTTGTCCTCTCATCCCTTTGCTAATCCTGGTGTTTCACTATGAAGTGTTTCCTCTATTGAGCCTTCATTCTGTGTCAGTCTTTCTACTAACTGAAAACACCAGATACAATTGTCTACATGAGGTGAATGTATTTATCTCATTCCTGGGCACTGACTAAAACCAGACACCAGAGTAAACAAAGATTCTGGGATGACAATCATCCATGTTTCCTGGATTTTTTTAAGTAAGTGATGATTTTTGACCCTGTTTCTAAATAAATCTAAACTGACCTAACTTGCTTTGAATCTAGGGAATGAGGTCAGGAGCCGTTTTATTTTAAAATGGACAAATATTTGTGTATGTGTACATGTATTTAAAAAAAAAAAAAAGCTATTTGGGTTTAATTTTCCTTTTTTTTGCTTACTGACCAAACTAAAATGTCAGAAATAAAGCCTAATCTTGACTTGAAGTGTACAATTTTTGTGTCTTGTCAGAGAAAACAGACATTTTAGGTCATTAGTGCCTTTGTGATACATTTACATATTTATATACTGTTCAAATGAAAATGATTGATGCTAATTATTTGTGATTCTGACAATTTTGCCCTGCTCCAACTATACCAATATTACTGGCTGAAGAAATAAACTAAATTTGAGCAGGTGAAAGATATTCATTCACTAGCTGAAATGTACTCAAGTCTCAACAAAACCATTACATTAGTAAAATTGCAAAAGAATTTGGTTTTGACAGCTGAATCACTGACTGGAAACAATTGTTCTGAAAAAAAAAGGCAGTTTTTTATAAACATAGTCAGTGGTTTACAGTAAAAGACATTTCCCCAAATAGCTAAAAAAATCGACCGTTTACATACACGGTCACAGACTAAAGAACTTAAAAGTCAGCTTTAATATTTTTATTAGGCACTGTCTCTCCAGCTGTTTGAATGAAGCAATAACTGAAGTTTCAAAGTACATGTCTCTAATTATGCTGAAAGATTTAAAAAAATAAAAATCTTCCTCCTTAGCAATCTAAATACATGCATTACTACTATTTGTTGGGGGGTTTTTTTTGCCTTTTTTTGTTTTTCTTACATATAAGGATAGCATGAAACACTTACTATCCCTCTCATTACAGCACCGAAACAGTCACAGTCACATTTGCTTGCTTCTTCTATTGCATTACCTAAAATTTAGCCATTGTTTAGAAAATACTGAAATTTCAGCTTTGCATGTGATTGCAGGGGAAAAAAAGGGTATTTGTACTACAGCCCTAGAGCCCAGAGTGAGGTTCCCTCTAGGAGAGGAATTGTGCAATAACAATTCATCTTCAGAAATGAGAAAATATTAACCTCTTCCTTTCCTTAACTTCTCTTTTTTAAAAATGCTTTGCAATTTTTCTCTTATTTGTAAATGCTAACTAAATTCCTCCACTAATAGAAACAGGTAAAGCTTAGATATCTAAATTTTCTTGACAATTTTCTTGCAAATTCCTCTTTTCAGCTCCAGATGTTATCTATTGAGATTTAGCTCTGTAGTATTTAAAATATATATTTTTAAAACTAATATTGGCCAACGTGGACAAGAATGTAACATCAGCTGGTGATTTTTCTTCCAAATTCTTCCACATTTTTGACCCTCTGTAATTGAAAGCACTTTTTATCATATTTGCGGTACGTGGGCAAAGATATATTTTTCAACATGTTAACTTTTCCTTACCCAGTATCACTAAAATAATTGAATCCTAGCATTTTAAAGCCATGGTGTACCTTCAAATTTGTTGTAATTTACCTTAATCTATTATTCTCTCTCTATTATAATTCCTTATCACATTTGTGTACCACCATATCTACTCTTAATATAAGGCCTACCAATGAAACTCATGCATTAGGATGCTAAATACTGGCATATTTTTGTATGCAGATTATGCAGAGAGAATGAAAGGATCCCTCTGGCACATGGTAACAGCACCTCCATCAGTCCCTACTGAATGTAGTCTGCAGTTTGTAAAAATAAATGCATTAAATAGCAAACTGTCAGGTTTATTTCACAAGCACAGAACAGTTTCTTTACAATTCTGTGAAGAATTTGGACATCTCCAAACAAAGTCCATTCACTGAGTGGACAGAAATTGACTTCTCATTGCCATGAACGTGAAAATTTTAAATGAGATAGTGAGAAGCAAAAGTCTTTTTGAAAATGTCAAAACTAATTTTCTGTTGAAGCTGTAGTTACCAAAAATCTTCTAGAAAAGGTCTGAATCTGACTTGAATCCAGAGAATTTGAATATATCTGGTATCAGGGAATTTCATCCTTTCCCCTTTTCACTTAATAGATGATTGGAAAACTGGATCATGGCTTTAAGGCACTGGAGGTGTTCTGATGACTTCAGTACCGTTTTGGACCTGAAATATAAACCAGTTAAATACAAATGTATTTGCTTTTGTTGTCTACTGCCATGATAATAATTTTATTATTACTTTTTCTCTGAAATCTACTGACTGCATTATTGCTATTTGGAATACAGTGCACGAATTATTTTCTCTTTGCTAATACTTGTCCACTACTGTAGTTATCTTCAGAACAGTCAGTAAATAACACAGCCTGCAGATGAAACATTCCTTAAAAACAAGATGCTGTCATGGTCTTGTGCTCAGTGATCCAGCAAATGAATGGTGTTTAAAAGGTATTGGCATGTGAGCTGCATGACCCAGATTGTGACAGGATACTGCAGGACACAAACTGGAAGAAAGGTGCTAGGTCGGGGGTGAGAGTATTGAGCCCTCAGGAGTCTCCATCTGCTGTGGTTCATTTATTTTGCACATTTATTTTTTCTGAGTACAGACCAGTCGTTACTGGTCTCTAGGTCCTGCAGAGCTCAGTCACTCGTGATGTGTTTTCTACCACATGCCAGGCTCTATTCCGCTTCTGCTTCACAGTCTGGATCTTATCCAACACCCATCATGTCTCACTTTGAATCACTGGACACCCTGGCTTGGAAAGGACCTTAAAGACCATCCACTTCCAACCCCTTGCCATGGACAGGGACATCTTTCCTAGACCCGCTCGCTCGAAGCCCCAGCCAGCCTGGTCTTGAACACTTCCAGGGATGGGGAATCTACAGCTTCCCTGCACAACCTGTTCTGGTGCTTCACCACTCACACAGCAAAGAATTCATTCCTAATATTTAATCTGAACCTCTTCTCAGTTTGAATCCATTCCCCCTCGTTCCGTCACTACACATCCCTGTAAAAAATCTCTCCATCTTTCCTGTAGGCTCCCATTCAGGTACTAGAAGGCCACAATTAGGTCACCCCTAAGCCATCTCTTTCCCAGACTGAACAATCCCAATTTTCTTAGCCTTTCCTCATAGGAGTCTCTCAGGCTGTCCGCGGATTCCTCCCCTGCCTGCCCTGTCGGTCACAAACTTCACCCTCGTCTGACAGGGCTCATTAGTACAGTAAATCATTAACGAAGCAAACGCAGTGCATGCCACAGCGCCGCGCCGAGTGTTGATTGATCTGCATTACCACAGCGACCTCCGCAGCCGCTCGGATCCGCCATGGAACGCGATTTCCATATCGGGGCCGCACACAGCATCCCACAACCAGCCGGGCTGGAAAAGACCCCCGAGATCACCGAGACCTCGTCACAAGTGCCACGTCCAGTCCTTCCTCAAACACCGCCACGGACGGTGACTCCACCACCCCTCTGGGCAGCCCATTCCAACATCTAACCACCTTTCCTGAGAAGAAATTCCTCCTAATGTCCAACCTAAACCTCCCTGGCGCAGCTTCAGGGCTACGTCTCTGTACTGTCGCTTCGCCAGGGTACATGTTGCAGTCAGGCGCGGCAGCAGGGGAACTTCCCGCACCGCACCGCACCGACCTCCGACAGCCGGTCCCGGTGCCTGTCCCTGTCCCTGTCCCGTTCCAGGTCCCGGTCCCGGTGCCTGTCCCTGTCCCTGTCCCGTTCCAGGTCCCGGTCCCGGTCCCGGTCCCGGTCCCGGTCCCGGTCCCGGTCCCGTCCCTGCCCCGCCCCGCCCTCCCCCGGCTGTCCGGGCGGTGGGAAGGAGTGCGCACGCGCGGAGCAGCCCCCCAGCGCACGTGACGGGCCCCGGCGGCTGCGCGCGCGGCGGCGGCCCCGCCCCCTGCCCTGCCCCGCCCCGCCCCGCCGCGTGAGGCGTGCGCGCGCGCGCGTGGCGGCCGCGGCGGGATGTTCGTGGCGCGCAGCATCGCCGCGGATCACCGCGACCTCATCCACGATGTGTCCTTCGACTTCCACGGGCGCCGCATGGCCACCTGCTCCAGCGACCAGAGCGTCAAGGTGAGCCGGGAGCCGCCGGGCCTGGTGCTGGGCGAGTGTCGCGGCGCCGGGCGTGCGCGGCCTACCGGGCTGCGGGCCGAGGGCTCGGTCCGCCGCAGGGCCCGGGCGGTGTCGGGCCGAGCGGGCGGGAGCCTTTAGCGCACGGGGCGCGCTGTGGTTGTGCGTGCGCCGACGCGCGTGAACACGGGAACTCCGCTTCCGACCCAGCGCCGCGGCTGGGAAAACATTCCCGGCTGCTGTGCCTGCCGTGGAGTTCATTCAGCTGAAATGCTGTGTTAATAAGGAATGCTTACGGAAACAGCTATTGTAAGTGCCAATAATGCGTATTTATTATGGGAAGAAGGTGAAGTGCCGGAAGCAAAAAGCCGGAGTGTTCCGTGTGTGCCCCGACAGACTGGGGAAAGTGTAGAATGCTAGAAGCCTTAATTTT